AACCCTCTTTAGCAACCGAGGTCTGGGCGCCGGCATCGGGTGTGTTGCTCCCAATCACCCGGTCGGGGCCATGTTACTCGTCAACTGACGGACTGACAGGCCAGGCTTCTTGTCACAGTTCAATCAGTCCCGCTGGGCCGTTTCATTGTCCACCTGATAGCGCCAATCAGCACCGGTAGTACTAGCAGCAACAGTAGCAACCACCACAAGATGAAGCCATTCAAGACGGTCAAATAACTAGTGTGCTTGTGATGGCTTGTGATGGCTGGTGCCCGGTCGGTCAAAGCGTTTGCTATTTCAGAAAGAAAGAACTGAATCACATCTTCATTATTAGTAGTAGGCGTTCTGGGCATGGTGTTGGTGTGCTCGTGATGATACTTTAGCATCGCAACTCGTACTTTGTCTGGGATGATCAGTTGTGTCGGTTTGATGCTTTTCACACTGCATTGTGGAGCTGAACTGAGACAGACCATCAGCCAACGTACTTCACACAAAGGTAGGTTGGTAGGCAAGTTGTTAGTGACTAGCTGGGATCATAATTTAGTGAAGTTCTTTGGAGCGACTACTAGTTCCAGGGGTACATATGCAAAGAAGTCTAGAATTAGATCATTCGTTCAGGTCCACTGCAACCAACGAAGTCGTACAAAGTACACTGTATGAATTTAGTAGGATGCATTGCATAGTGATTGATTGATCGCGACCCAGAATTGATAAAGCACACTCCGCTTGTTTGATATATATATATCTCTCTTTCAAACACATACTGCATGCCAGCATATGTACTTCGTAGGTATGCATCGCATCGAGTCATTCATCCATTCGTTCGTTGTTCATTAAATATAGTACCACTAAGAAGTACTACTGTAGTACTCGATGCACACTGCATACACAATGCCATCCATTCATCCCATCCAGCCCCAACTCTGAAACAAGCTGTCCCCTGTACGACTAGTCAGTCATCAACAACAAAACATTCAGCTGATCACAGGATAGCCAGCGATCCAGCCCTGCGTGTGCCTTGTCAGAATTAGACTACTACTACTATTACTTCCCGAACAAAGGAAGAGAAATACTGTACTAGTTAGTAACTAAGGAAGGGGTGGATAAATCCAAAGCCCCCCAGATGCCGAGGCACTATCCCGCCCGGCAAGGCTAAAAACTACCCGCCTAGATTAACCGTGCATTTCGCCTCTCGACTCTAACAAAGCGCGACGGTCGGAGAAGTACTACGTACTAGTAAATAGTGATCTTCATTAGCTAGGCTGGACTCACACAAAGAGTAAACCCATTCTGTTGCCTACTGTAGTTACCCGAAAGAAGTATATTCCCGTTGTTGTTGATTTCTTTCACAGAGTTGCCTGGTCTGGCCATTTACAGCCGATGTGACTAGTTCGCGGGCTGAAACGGACAACTGCCGATGAGAGGGAGGAAAAGGGAGGAGGCATGGGGGGCCGTTGTTGCTTCGCCTCCCCAACTTACTGGCTGTACGGGGGGCAGGGCAGAGCAAGGCAGGTCAGGACAGGGCAGACCGCGACAAACTCAGACAGTGGATGGAATCTGGGGGTGGTGCGGCCCGTCAGATCAGATTTGGGGGCAGGCAGACAGACAGGCACAGCTGACTTTGATTCTATCGATGCCAGTAGATAACTATTTACGAGACGAACTGTTAAGTCCCTACGCGGGTCCGAAGGAGTAAGAATTACGGAGCGGATAAATGGGCTTGGCGGTGGTACACAACGTCCGGGGTAAAGAAGGGTGATAAGTAAGTAGTTGTTGGTATCTCGGTAGAAACGCGTGGGTCGCGGGGGTGGGTGGATTGTTGAACGGGGAACCACACGACTATGTACTCTGGGTCGTCCCAGGGAACACAACTGTCCCCCGGACACGAAACAACTTGACAGTAACGGACCCGGGGGTCGGATCCGTGCAAGATAGGTTCCATGGTTAGGATGTTGAAATAAGAAGTTGTGCGCCGCCTATTGTTTAAGGGGATACTTACTGTAGGGTCTATCATTATGTGAAGTGTATTGTAGAGTGTAGCGACTTTCCTATCGGGTTCTGATGGAGAAGTGGACATACACAGCCGGGGAGTAAGGTAGCAGGGCATAAGGGAATACCCGGGATCCACCGCGGATACCGCGCATGGATTAGGTACCCGACTACTTACTTTGCTTCCCTGGGGGCGGCTATGTGGTACTGAATGACCCTCTATCGAATTACTTTATTTCCTTTTCCTTTGCTTGCTTATTTTTGCCTTTTTTTTATGTACTCTGTTATCGCGGCACGAGCTGATAACAATAATCAGATGTCGCAAAAAAAAGGAAACCCAATCAATCCTCGTCTTGTTTGCCTCGAGAAACCAGCACTGCCAACAATCCCCATGTCCATGTCCGTCTCAGCCAATTTCTGAGGCGCCCGCCCGGGTGTTTGCCTGCCTGACCGCCAGACCACCACCACCACTACCCCCAAGAAAGAACCCATGTTAGAAGGGAGTTGAAGGGGAGGGGAGGGGAGGGATGGGATGAGTTGTAAAACCAACGCGAGATGCAAAAAGCCTAAACGCATTTGAAACCATCTGAGTCACTTGGACCCCAAGCAGTGCCGATGCTAACTAGTAATTATTATTCTATTTTTCCTTTTTACCCACATAGTACATGCCTACTACCGTTATCGCCAGATGTATATACATACTTGCATACTCATACAGACGGGCGGATGTATGTCGACATCCATCGGAAGCATGCTGTGGTGTTAGTTGCTGCGAAGATGCCAAACAACAGACTGAAGCGGTGAGGTCAGAGCGTGCTGATTCGGTCGCGGAATTAGGGGTTGTGGTGATGATGATGCTGTACATTGGCTGCAGGGAGGGGAAGGGGGGATTGGTCTGAATGAATCGTTGGACTGACCGACAGATGGCTGATACCTGGTAAACTACACAGACCGCAAGAACCCGTTGCGAGATGCACGAGAACCCAACACCGCCTGTCGCATTGTGCTGAGGATATCGCGGATCAAAGCGTTTTTTTCTTGATTTTCGTGTCGGCTACTGTATTCCGTACTTGACTTACTCCTGGTGGTGTTTACGTAGCAGAGGAGACAGCAAGCAAGCAGGGCGGGGTTGTGAATAATCATTTAGTTGATTATCTTACGGTGTACAGCCTGCCTGCCAGGTTGGAAGTATGAAACATCCGCCCGAAAAATAATAATCAATATTGGGGGCAGACGGAGTAATTCACAATTGAGGCGATGTTTCTCATTTAAATTAATATCGTCAGCCGCCGAAAAACAACACCAAATAGAAGGATGGATGAATGATGAGCCCCCACTGTCAGTCTGTCAGTCAGTCACCTCGGTCGGGTATGGGGGAATATTTACCGGACCCGTATCATGTCAGCCTTAGACTACTAGTTACAGTAATACTACTACTAATTCTACTAAGATTATGATATTGTTAATGCAAGTATCTACAATGTAGCAACTACTCCGTACACTGCACCAGTTGTATATTCTCTACTCTGGTGTTATTCTGCACTTGGCAAGATGCCAATAAATCTGGGGTCGGACGAACCAAAGAATCAGTTACGGAGGTGCCACTGATGGGAAGTCCGGAGTTGTGGGAGAAATCGGAGGGAGCAGTGGATTAAGTTGACTCATTCTTTGACACTTGATCCATCCCCACGCCAGTTCCTTTACCCTTTTTCCCCTTCTTCCCTTTTCTGGCCCCCCATCCGAAGCTCCCCGGGCCGCGGACCGGAGGAGCGAGCAAATCCGCCCAGAAAACAAATTAAAATGGAAGAACAAAAGAAAGCCGATAGATCCACGCCCTGGACCGGGGGTCTGGCTGTCAGATTAGGGTCGAATCCACCCGATGGGAATAAATCATAATAATAGATAAATATGTACCTTTAGTCCCTGGTCCGATGATGGGTTTCAGGAGTTCGTTGCTACATCGCACTGGACTGATCAACTCGAACATCTATCACTTTTGACAATAGTACCATTCACCACTACTACTACTATCTACTACCGACTACTGATCACAGTAAACAATACTAGTACTAAGCCACTTGGTACTTTCTACTGTGATTGACATACCGCCGCGACATCACCGACATCATCAACATACCTCCACACATTTTCCACACATACACATCAGCTTGTTTACCTACCTACCTACCTACCACCACCACTACTACTATACTCCTGTGGTAGTAGTACTTGCTCTCTCGTGTCCAACCACTTTGATTGCTGCTTCATTCATCGTACAGCGACCGGAACGCCCCTTCCGCCTGATCGCCGCGCTTGACACGCAGGATTACCAGTGGATGCTTTGCTTTCAGGCCAGCATTGCGGAAAATTCCAAGTGATTTCTGGCCGCTTTGTCGGGCTGGTGACTGGTAATTCCCCAGTGGGGCGACGCGCTCAACCCAAACAAGGGAATTTCTTACTTCCACAAAAAAAGAAATTCGATTTTCGATTTTTTGATTTTCTGATTTTCAGAAAATTGAATAAATCGAATTAAATAAATCCGAAGAGGGAAAAAAATCGGATTTGCTGCCAACCCCCCACTCCACACCTCCTTCTTCGTTCTCCACGACGCCTTATCTGTTGGGAGATGCAAGGGAGTCCAGACGCCTCCCCCGATCGATCTGGCCCTTCTTCCATTTATACATTCACCTCATTTTCCTCTCTCCGCCATTTGATCCACCGGTGGAGTGTTCCTTGATCAGCGTCAATCCCCAGATACTCCTCTCCAAGCTTATTTATTTATCTGACTTCCCACTCCTCCTCTCTCATCTCTTGGGTCTTGACCTCCCCAGACCGTGTCGATCTTCTTCACCTCCACTCATCAAACTACTACTGTCACAGAGCTAGTACTAGTAGTCATACTACTTATACTTCCTGCATCGCTCTGGACAACACCGAGATTCACTCCCATTACTATCACCTACTACACCTACTACCACCACTTACTACTACTGATAACACCTCTTCTCACCATGTATCCCTTTCTTCCCTGGAGTCAGAACCAGTCTAGTGTTCGCTCCTCTCTGAGCGAAGCCACCACTAGCACCCAGAATGTCTCCTTCAGTTTCAGCTTCGGCAGCTCTTGCTCACCTACTTCGATGCCGCCTCCCCCACCACCTTCTCCCACTGATTCCTTGCTCGACATCACTCCTCGCAAGTGCTCCTTTTCTAGCGGCTATGAGATGAACAACTCGTGCGCATTCCCATCTTGGCCCAACCGCCCTTCTCTGCTGAGTGCAGACTCAGAGGGCTCCAGTGCCAGCGCCTACCTTTCCGACGAAGATCTCCTCCCCATCGGCTCTGGATCCCCCTGCGAGAGTGCGATCGACGAAGAATCCGCCGCGCAGGACCCGACCATGGGAGACGTTGACCTGACCACCGAGCAGCAGATCCAGATGATTCGCGCCGCAGCGGAAGAAGAAGCGCAGCGCGCGCGTTTCCTTGCTCAGGTGCAGGCCCATGCGAGAGCACAGCAGGCCATGCGGGTGGCACAGATGGCAGCGGCAGAGCGCGAGAACGCAAAGCGCAAGAAGCGCAAGGCCATCCCCGAGAGGAAGCGGCGGACCGCATCAGCTTCGAAAGCCACCGTCTGCCGCGCCTAAGAGACACCGAGAAGGGTGTCATCTTCTCTTTACTTTTTCCCTTCGTTGTAACATCAATACGCCAAACCACCTACTTGCGCATGTCATGATACCCCACGACTTCGTCACCCCACGCCAACATTTTGGTCCGATTTAGCCGGAGATTAGGGTTGTCGAATGATCGACGCCGATCTGTCTCCAGCTCAGCTGTCCAGAAATGCGACCAACACGTCTATCTGGTTGCTTTCTTTTTTTTACTTTTTTCTTCTTTCAACTATCTTATCCTTCTTATTCCCCTTTTTGGGAAGCCCCCGATCTGAGTGGTTGCCGCAAAAAGCAATCAGTCAAGGTCCCCGCCACAATGACACACTTCTGGCACTGATGCTTGTGAGGTCGAGACATCACAAGGCTCGGACTTTCAAGAACAGGGCCATGAATTAGCATGATCGGGCATGGGACCGGGGGAATATGACGACAGAGGGTGCACGTGCGACGAAGGAGTGGGAGACGAAGCGAGGAGAGATAGTTGGTAGGCGCCGTAGCCGGGCGGAATTGGCAGGCCGGAGTTGCGTCTTCGCGGCCTCTGATTTGGTGCCCGAGCTTGGCTGCCTGATTACCTAATTTCCCTGTCGCAGCCGGCGCATTTGATGGAAATTGGGGAACATTCCCCTCTCTGGCTGCTGCTGCTGCTGCACGCTGGACAGGGCCCTCTGCTGCCTATCATTCTTCACAACCTCACCGCCATTGTCAGGGCACGCTCTGATCGCATTCCCTTCCCTACGGATGGTGACTCACTCCGATCATGCTGGCCCAAAGGGTCATGGCACGCGCTTGGATACTCGCTTCACGTTGCGCACTGTGTCTTTCCTTGCTTGTGGTTCTTTGTCCCCCCGGTTTCTTTTCTTTCCCCTCTTGTCAACCGGGTTTCTTTACTCTCTTAATTATTGTTACGTTTCATGCGTTGTCGCGTCGGTGTTGGTGGTCATGGATTTAGCAACATTTCGGGATACCAGACCCAGATTCCCCCTCAGCTGGGTTTCGTCAGTGGTTTTGCTTTTTCTTCTTTACTCGCGATTTCCGATCTAATTATTGCCCCTTTCTTTTGTCACTTTTCTTTTTGTTATCAGCGTCGGATGTTCAGATACCCCGTCTTGTATGTCATCATGTTGTTTCCTGGCGCTTCCTTGTTTCGTTTTTCCCCTTCATTCTCATACCCCGAGCGTGTTACACAGAACAGCTCCCGCGTTACTTTAGATGGATTGCATATTGCATAGCTCAGCGACATACCCCATTAATTCATGCAGCGATGGCCTTTGTTTCACTACTTGATTATCTTCCTATTTCCTATTTAGTATGGTAATACTTAACTACATTCACATCATGTGAATGAACGAATCAATGAACAATAACCACCGAAAATGAAGTGGTCTGATAACACAATAATTCTATCCTACTATAATAGATCCCATCCTATACCATCCTAACTGTAATGACTACCAAACTATCTGACCCACAATCCCACCTGAACAGATGACACAAGTACCTGCACGGCTATATCCGACGCAACTCCCATTAGTTCGACATCCTAGTGTAGAAGAGAGAGAGACTAGTAACTAGCGACTCCTGTAACAGCTGAGTACTACATATCCCCCGCTGTACTTAGAGCAGACAAAAACAAAAGCAAAGCTAGGCAGCACATGCAGTAGTAGCAGTATAATTCCTTTTTTACTGCCATCAGCCCGCCAGCCAGCCACCATCTACAGCACCTAACCACACAATTGGTACCTATTTACTATCGTTTCATGGTACTAGTGCCAGACATTAGTAGTGTTGGATGCTTTGTTTTTTTCATGTAAGGTACTTATGAAGACTATGGTCGGTTGGTGATCTGTGCTGAATGAAAGTGTCAGTCAGTCATCACGAGACACTGTTGATGGAAGGAAACTATTGATTTCTATGCCGTTACCCCCTCGGTTTTGTGGTGGTGGTGGTGCTGATGTCAGGCAATTATTGATTGTAGTCTATCCTATCGGTGATGAGTGAGGGGTTTTGTTTCACTTTGCTGAGGGGTTTAGAGATTTGGAATGATATGAGAGAGGATGAGATGAGATGAGATGAGATGAGGGATATACTTGTGTCGTTTGGAGGATGTGTATGGATTAGGATACCGGTAGAATATGCGTGATATAGTCGTAGAAGGAGATTGAATGTAAGGTACGTAAACTAACAGTGCTAGGTAGAGATAAAGACGAAGGAATAAATCGGTTCAAGTAGTGTAAGTAATACAGTACATCATCTATTAAGTGATTATCCAACTAACCCATCTAAGCCATGTATAGGAAAAATCAACCTGAGTATTAGTTACGTGGTAGGTATTCTACAGCCCCTTCGCCAATAACTCCTCTCCCACCTCCTTGATCAACGGCTCCTTCGCTACACTCGGAACATTCTTCTTCGCGACTATCGTCTCTGCAATCCCCATGGCATTGCAGAGATCCACGACCGCGCTGTCCGGACTAGCTTCGTAGACGAGCAGTCCCAGAGCGAAGAGAAGCCCGTGGAGAGCCTCCTGGCTCTCTTCTTCCTGGGTGATAGCTTCCACGAGCGACGCAGTCAGCTCGACCTGGGATTCCTCGGATAGCGGGTCGGTGTGGCCGGCGAAGCGGGCGTTGTGGTTAAGCGCGGCGAGGTTGTAGGCGAGGGAGGCGGCGACCACGCGGAGGTTAGTGTGGGAGTCGAGGAGGGAGGAGGTGGTGAGGTGGAGGAGGGTTTGGAGGAGAGAAGAGGAGGAGGTAGTGAGTTGGTCGCGGTAGAGAGGGGTGGAGAAGAGGGTGCAGCAGAGTTGGAGCATAACGATGCGGAGGTTGTAAGGGCATTTGGAGAGGCCAGCAGATGGGGATAAGAGGGTGAGGAGGGTCTTGTGGTCGGGCTCTTCGGCAAAGTAGCTGGATACGCGGGGGTCGAGGAAGAGCAGGCGGGTGAGGTCGACGAGAGCGAATAGGTGGTCTAGAACTAGAGAGCCGTAGGTGCTTTGTAGATAGGTGGCGAAGGTTGGGAGGTCTTGGGGTAAGGGGGTGTCTGCTGCTGGGGTGGAAGAGGAGGTGCGGTGTTTCAGGTAGGTGATCATGGAGAGGAGGCGGGGGTCTTCGTGGTGAGGGCTGAGTTTCTGGACGAGCTTGTCAAGAGGGGGTACTTTCTTGTAGGTGACATAGTTAGAGATGGGGCGTTGGAGGCTGGGGAGACGGAGTTGCTGGTGACGATGGGGAGGATGGGCCATTTCCAGAAGGAGACGGACGTTGCCTCGTAGTTGGGCTGGGTTGGCGCCGGACCATTCATCGAGCTTCTGGCCCTTCAGGAAGGTCATGAAGGTTGGGGTTGCTCGGACGCTGTATTTCATGCTGACATCCATGGCAGTACTGATGTCGACTTTGATGAGGGTGGCTTTGGCGCCTGCTTCCTCGGCGAGTTCGTCGTACGTCGGGTAGACCATTTTGCAGGGCGGACAGGTGGCCGAGGTGAAGAAGATGACGGCGCATGAGTCGGCGGCGGCAGCTAGGTGGTGCTCGAGCTGGGCGAGGTTGCTTGCGATGCGCACAGAACCTTGAGTAACGGGGGCAGGTTGCGCAGGGGCGGTTGGTGCGCTGGTGGAGGGCGTTTGAGTGCCGACTGTGCCAGTGCCAGCGCCAGTGCCTTGGGTTACACCGCGCAGGGCCATTTCGATCTGGGGCTTCATCATTTGCCCAAAAGGGGTGCTCAGGAAGGTCTGCGGCAGGTTTTGAATATGCTCAGGGATACCTTTGCCGAGAGCAAACATGGCCAAATCCTGTGTGAAGTTGTTGCAATTGTGCAAGAAGAGGTCGTAGGACTGGACGGCCGGGTTAGAGAGATGACCGGGCTGGGGATACGGGCTCTTACCTCAGGGGTGTAGATTTCCGCAAGCGACTGGATGTATTCTTCGATCACATCCATGGGGAGCTCGGTCTTGCCAAGATGCAGCTTCTCCATGGGCTGTCCATGATGAGTACTGCCGGGGACGGCCGTTTGGATGCCCTGGCCAAAGTAATACTCGACACCGTTCAGCACCAACGATGTGTGGTAGATGGCATCGATTTGCGTTCCCGTCAGGGCCAGTGAATACTAGACGAAGTTAGACACGAGGCGACTCTGCCACAACCAATGCGTGTCTCACCATTCGCGCAAGACCCTGTTCCGCATTAGCCCATGACTCCTTGACTAAACATGTACACGTGAAGCTATGGGAATCACCTTGGATAGGTCATAGACATACAGCTCGACATCCATGATGACGGCTGCTGACACAGAGGACTTCAAATCAAAGCTGCGAAGTATGAGAAAGCTCCAGGAAGACTGAATCGCAACTCCGAAATGCCTGGGAAATGTAATCCTCGCCGGCGCAAACGCAGCTGAAGAAGTAACAAGAAGAACCTCCAGGCATCGCGGGGTTACGTCAGCAGCCCGCCGGCCATCACGAGATTAACTGCAATCGAAGACAATGGAAGCAACCCATCTTCTTCTCACCTCATCTTCCTCGGAGTCATCGACATCCCCATCCGGACTCCCAACGGCAGTGCGATGTAAATCGGCAAATCCCGATCCTTACCAGCCTACCAAATGTCCATGGCTCATCCGCCGCCGCGCCTTATCTCCAACCACCCTTTCCCTTGACATCATCGCAGTTTGCGACAGCTTAACATCTACCTACACACTACCAAAGAGCATACATAACCAAACGGTACCATGGTAAGTCACCATTGTGCTTATCGCATGTACATACTCTCTCTCAATGCGCTAACCACCACCACTACTCCCAGCCCCCCAAAAAGCGCAGCGCCCCAAGCAGCGGCCCCGCGCCCAAACGCGCACGCCAATCCAAACTCGCTAAAGAGAACGACATCAGCGCATCGGAAGAGAACGAAATCAAAGAAGTATTCCACCTCTTCTCCGAGACCGTCGAGGAATTCGCAGATCAAAAGGAAGGCGTGATTCCACGCGGTGATGTGCGCAAGGCTTTGGTGTACGGCTTCTCTTCCCTAGACATCCACTTGCGACGAAAGGATCTTTAACTCAGTGCAACAATAGAGCCCTCGGTCTCGACCCCACCGACAGCGAAGAACTCCACTCCATCATCTCGGCCGTTGACCCCACGGATACCGGGTACGTGCTGTACGAGCCGTTTCTGGCTGTCGCGGCAGCGAAGCTACGATCTAGGTCTGATGATGCGATGGCGGCGGAGGTGGATGCGGCGTATCGGTTATTTACGAGGGGGTCGGGGAGATTGATTACGTTTAACCATTTGAAGAGGATTGCGCGCGAGTTGAAGGAGGATGATCTTGGGGATGAATTGTTGAAGGATATGATTTTGGAGGCGAATGGTGGGGCCGGAGTGCATGCTGGGGTTACGTTGGAGCAGTTCCATGATGTTATGACTAGGGCCGGGGTGTTTTGATTGTCTTTTTTGGTTTGCTTAGTTGGGGATATGGGATGGTTGGATTGATATTTCAGCGGGCGTTGGGTATGTGATTAATCCTGGTTACTTGGTGTTATTTACTACCTGGGACAGGGTGTTGGGACATATGGCATGCTTCTTGGGATTATACAGGATCGGTTATGGAGTGCCAAAAATAGTGTACTTTAGCTATAAAGCGATAATCAGATATCAAGTACATACAGTGTTATACAAAGCCGTGTTCACGTCTCGTCGATTATTCCAGAGCAAAACGTAGAGCAAACAGTCAAGAACATGTGGATAAACGCTTTCTAAAGAGTCGTACTCGGGGTATCATATAATGCTGATATACACAATCGGGCAGAGCAAGGTTGGGTAATCGAGTCACAAACGGTTCAGTCAACGTCGGACGTGAGCAGGGACTTCTCAGACCGAGGTTCAACATTTAACGCCGTTGAGACGCTGGTCGCTTGCGATACATCGGACGTGGAGTCTCCTGTGGCAGCAGATGTTGTGGACATGGTCTCCGATGGTGTGCAGCTAGAAGAAGGCGCTGAACCCTCCTCTTCCGCCAAGCCAGAATCCACGTCCTCTGCAGCCTCCGGGGAGTAGCCGTCAACTGCCTCGTAGAAGAGCATGAAGGCACCGCCCTGAGACATGACGCTCGCTTCGCTGACCATCTGCACGTCTTCGTCGCTTAGCCTGTACCAACGCTCGTCTCTCTCCTTGTCTCCATCTGCCTCGATAATTGCGTCCGGGACGTGGGCCGGAAAACTGTCGGTTGGATATTTTCTGTAACATATGTAATGGCCATTCTCATGACGGCCGTAATGAGTGATCACAGCACGCAACTGATAGTGACCGCCTGCAGTTGTGCCTCTTCCTGCATGCGAGAGCATGGATACGCTGGGATTGGTCTCCCAGGCTTCAAGATTTGGTTCCCCATTTTTAGAAACTCCGCCTAAGCACCATGGGTTCAAGTTGAGGGCATTGGGAAACTTGACGGCCGCGTAATTCTTCCGGAGCATTCCTGTAGTTTCATCAAACATGCTGCGATTGATGTGAATAACTAGGCACTGTGGGGGCCTGGCAACCACGGCCTGTCTTGACTTAGTCGTCGACACGCGATTTTTTCCGGGAATATGGCATTTCTGAGAGAGCGTCTTCTCTGCAAAGTCCTCCTCTCCCAACGCCTGCTCAACGGCCTGTAAGCGTTCCTGTGCGGAGCTTCGAAGCGCATCTGATATTTTTGGTGATTCCGGAGTAGCACTCGGAGTCTCCTCATCATCGCTGATTTGCTTCAGCAGGTTCAATAGCTGAGACTGTACCCGCAACAAAGTGCACTTTGCGCATTCCACTCCCTCAATGGGCTCCAAATGCATGTAATGATGGAGACACTCTCGGATGTCGTACTCGAACTTTGGACCGAGCGGGACAGTCAAGCAGTTGAAGGGAATGAGCGAGAGCCCTTCGGTCCAACCACACTGGATGCAGCCCACTCTTTGCGCAAGAAGACCTTCCAACGGGTTCCGAAAAACCTGGTTTCCAGTTGACCGTGACTCCGCCCCACTGTTTTCTTGTAGCTCCTGTGACGAACCAGACCCAATCACATGTTCCTGCGGTCCTGCCATCTTCAGGCCCAAGTTGCGCGTGTGTCGCCGAGTCGCCTGCTGGACTTCCAGATCCAACTGATCAACAATCTTCGAGAAGTACTCCTGTGCATCCTGCTGCTGCCAGCTGCTCATCGATTTGAGATCCGCCGGGGTCCACAGACGTTGGACATTGCTGTCTGCGCTATTGAGTCGCTCTATGATATCCTTCAAAGCTTGATGCGTGGACATAAGGGCTTTCTCTCCTAGCTGCTCAACATTCTGATCCAGAAACTTCTCCAACGACTGGAGAGATGCCAGTCCTTGTATGATGCTATTCTGATAACACGAATTATCCCAGTTTCCGAGCCCTGGCGGTACGTTGTTCTTGCTGCTTAAGAGCGAGGTCCCGAAACTCGAGAAAGCCGGAGCGCGAGGGAAGAGGGAGGAGAAGGAGGTATCGTCAAGGCCAAGTATCCGTTGCATCGCTTCACTTTTGGCCTCAAAGGTCATCGAAAGAGGGTTCTCGTCGGTCGTATCGGAATTCCGTGTCTGGGAATCCAGGGCGGCAATCAGTCGAGAAGGTGTCAAATGGACTAGTAAATTCCAGGCTATCTGAGCCACCGACAACGAAGCTGGACCCCAATAGCTGATGGTAAAATACAGAGTGATGAGCGTCACTAATATAGAGGCAACTAAGGATGGATTGCCCTGCAGTTGCTGCAGTACTGTTTCATAGTTGCTGCGCTGCACGTTGAAGGGATTCGGAGTGAGGAAGTTAATCCCCTCTCTGCGAGCATTCATGGCTGATGAAAAGGAGGCAAAGTCCACGGCATAGGGACGAGGACATTGACATCACTTAGCAGAGCAGTTAAGAGGCGACGACCACGTCTGGCGAAGTGACGACTGGATCGACTTGAGCAGCCAGTGTTGCGTCGCAGAATAAGCAGCGGCCGAGTGCGCTCCAGGTGTCTTCCGCCACCCGGAAAGGTTTTATCGATAATGCCCGGCTCCACAACAAATTGTTCACCTGCGGGCATGCAGGAAAATACCAATCTAAATTTCCCCTGCATCAATCATGGCGAAATCTAGGCGTGAGTACAGCTATTCCTACAGGATTATTGCTTCAGAAATGCATGTTCAATGCTAACATAATGCCCCTGTCTAGCCCAGTCAAAACATTCCCGCGCTGCGAGGCGGGCAGCTTCCCCCAGTCTCGATGTCGACAAGTCAATCACATCTCTTCCGCGGGCCGAAGAAACTACAGTACAGCGGGATTCGATCCTATCGGAACGCGCTAATGCAGGCGTTTCGAAGAAATCGTCAAAAGGCAAAGCTAAAACTAGAGCGCAGCGCTTGAGACAACAAAAGGGTGTTGAAAGAGCAGAGGCCGTGATGGACCAGCTGGAGAAGAAGGTCGTTAAAAGTGAGGGCCGCGCCAAATCCGTCAAGGCTCGTAGGGTAAGGACGCCAGACTTTTCATCATGATTGGTCAATATCTCTGACGAAATGAGTGTCTAGGCTGAATGGGAGGATCTGAACCGTAAAACGAAGTCAATGTTCGAAGCCCTCAACGAGGCTGACGATAACATGGACGATGCCATGATGGACGATGCTGCGGCTTCTAAGCCAGCGAAACGTTCGAAGCCGGCCCCTGTCACTCAGGCTCCCGTTGTGGAGGAACACGAAGGCATTGACGTGGACGATGATATCACCTGATGCGTGGACGTTTATCTTGCCAAGGAAATACCGCCATGGTTGCGCCAGCTATCTACTTCCGCGGTCTAAGCTGGTTGATCATCCGTTCGATCTCAACGGCGGCTGGTCCTGAAGCCCTCGCCTGGAGGAGCTCAAGGGCGTTGACATTCTTTGCCCTGAAGGCTTCTTCGCCGGCTTTCGCAATCATGCCGCATTTCACCCACATTTCCATCTTGTCCTCAGCCGGCAAATTGGTGCATTTGGGAACAAATAACGAAGCGAGCTTTGTATTTCCAGCTCCCAAAACCTCGTTATAAAATGGCTGTTATTTATCCGTGAGCATGCGGGCGCATATTCTGGGGTTGTTGGCCGACTTACCTCCCATCCAATCGGGGACTTTTTGTTTTTCCCGATTTCTTCCAGCTCACCCCAGTCACGCTTAGCTACCAAGGCCCTTAATCTCAACCACCAGAAAGTTTTCTCTGGCATCCTGAACTCGCTCTGTATCTTCTGTGCTCTTTTTCCGTAGCCTGATCTTATCAGTCTGTAGATTGTCTCATTCAAGCTTAAGCCAAGGAACTCTGAACGATCCGCAAGGTCCTTGTCGAGGGCCTCCTGGACCTTCAGCAACTGGGATGCTTCGTTTAGTAGTTTCTGCTGTAACACCACAGAAGGATCTTTTGAGTCTGACAGTAGACGTGATGCGAGCTGGAGCTTTTCGGTCTTGCGCGGCAGGTCCGTTGCGTCCAACGCCTCGGAGAGAAGGACATTGGAGCCATCAATAGGCCGATCATCTTGGTAGAAGAGGTCCTTCAACAACTCGGTGTCCTGTCCTCTGGCAGTCGTCTCCACAAGGGCAGACGCCATAGGGCGTGTGTTTATCGTTCTGAAGAAACTGGCAAGCGGTAGTTTAGTCTTAAGATGCAGAAGGACGTAGTTCACTAGATCAACGTCTCCACTTTCGATGGCCTTATCCAAGGCAATCTCGTCTTCTTCCATGTCCAAGAGCAAGGGCACTTGCTTCCCAGCTCTTGGTTCGTGGTTCAGCAGCTGAGTCGCCAAGTGAGCACGTCCTTCATCGTAAGCTGTTTGCGCGATCAATTCAAAGGATATGCCTGGTTTGCCTTCCAGTCGCTGGACAATGAGCTTGCAGAGGGCATCATCGTCCACTGTGGATACTTTGACCTTCTGGCTTGCCCAATGAACGTATATCCTATCGGCAGGAAGCTCAAGATATTCCGAAATGCGGATCGCAAGCAGGTATTCATGCCTGTTTACCAACCGCTCAATGAGCCTTTCAGGAGTAAGGCGCATGTATTGCTCATAGGAAAGCGGCAGTCCTATCTGGTAGTCTCGCACTGCTTTCAGCACCCGGAGTTTCTCAGTCATTTCGACAAATTCATCGCTGTTGTACAAGTCAAGAACAGACTTTCCGAACGACGCTGCCTTTAACAAGCGCTTCTGCCAATATGTGTCAAACTCATGACCAGCAGCTTTGACACAAGTGTCAACCGCCTCGGGCAAACTTGGCCGGATACGTTGGATGTTCTCGTCGGCTTTGGGCGACTTCTTCTCCAGAAGGTCTATAGAGTCCAGGAGGACTGAGGCGGGTGACGTAGATCCGAGCCGGAAGATCGCCTCGGTGACATCTTGCAGACCATCAGATGTGTGTTCCTAGACTAAACGAGGATTACTTACCAACAACTTTGTGCA